TGATTAATAGTGATGGTTACATAACTCACTAAACTTACTAAAATCTCTAAGTTGTAATTTTTATATGTAAAATACACCTCAATAAAATTGATTTTAAAAATATGTAGTTTTTTTTTAAAACAGAAAGCAGAAACACTGGTATATCTAAGGACACAAAACAATGAATTTTAGATAACTATACTTGTTTGAGAGTCAAATGTTTATCAATCAAAATGATAAGAATTAAAACTGTATCTTCTTGAATATGTTCATATATTATAATATGAACAATGTACATATGTGAGTAAAGGATGGTGACATCAAAAGTGACAAAATATTCTATATGTGAAAATAATTATAGTGCTAAAAAACTAACTCATTGTAGTAGTAATTAAGGGAGCCTGGTTGCAATTATGTACAGGAAGGATATTAAAACTTCCAAAAGATATTTCTATAAGCCACAACAGAAGAACAGAGCAACAGAATAAGTAGAACCACATCCAAACCCACTTCCTTGTTATTTACCAATATCATCTAAAGAACACAGTTTAAATGCTGATGGTACTTGTCTTCACTGGACAAATCTAAATCATATTCAGACTTAAAAAAAATCAAAAGAATTTTTGACAAGGGTTAAAAGTTTATAGCCCTAAAACTATAAAAAAATTTTGGTGCCCACAACAAACCACATCCTGGCAATTGTTATGTCTCTACAATGAACTACTTGAAATGATTTTGTTGTGGCTAAGGCAATCATTTCTGAGTTAATAATTAGCTACTATTCAAATCGAGTGTAATTTGACTTTCTTACACTAGATCACTTTTAAGAAGAGTATAACAATTTCATTTTTAGCCACAAACATTGAATGTTATAATTATTCATTTGTCATTCTATGTAATATAACCAAAATGAATAGAAAAGGGTGTTTTTTACTACTGCATAAAATTGTATTCATTTTCCAGGAAGCTGGAATTAAGTTCAAATGTTACCTGCTTAAGGCAGGTGAACATTTATATTTTAAAAAATAATATTTTTTAATTTAAAAAAAGGTGAAGTTTCCTGTTATGCTTTTTTGAAAAGTACCTAGAAATAGCACTCCTTATTTACATAAAGCAGATTGTAATCACTTTCTGTTGTGGTTGGTTTTTGGATCTAGACTCTATAAGCATTATCTTAAATTGAAAGACAAATTGAAGTCAGTCAAGGTTTATCTATTAGGAAAAGTTATAATAATTCTGATAAAATTATGTTATTAGCCAACTTTGTAATCTCAACACATTACTAACACTGAAGTATTTTTTTCAATAACCTAGTAAAATTAAGGCTTGTCATCAGCAAAATACTTTCTAATTTACAAAGTATTTTTCACATCCTTTAATGCATTACATCCTAAAAACAACCCTATATATTAAGATAGTAAATACTTGTGGATGCTTCCCCAACATCCATTTTCCTCTCTTCTAGCCAAAAAATAACCATGCCATTCTTTGGAGGAATCACCTGTCCCCCAGTTTCAGCCATACAGTCTGGGTAGAGCTTACCCAATCTCTAGTACCAGGGATTGCTTAAGCCACTCAGTGTATTCTATCTTTCAGGCCCCATTTATCACTTTAGGAATGGTCATTTAAACAGTGAAATAATGGTCTTGTTTTCTGGGACTTCTAGGAAAGGGAACTTCCTTTTTCTCTCATGGGAACTACTGTAAGATTCTGAAACTTTCCGGAATAAGATGGTATAAGAATCTAAGATCTGGCTGGATGCAGTGGCTCACATCTGTAATACCAGCATGTTGGGAGACCGAGGCAGGAAGATCCCTTAAGGCCAAGAGTTCAAGACTAGCCTGGGCGATAATAGTCAGACCTCCCCCATCTCCAAAAAGAAAATACAAAAATTAGCCAAGCATAATGCTATCTGCTTGTAGTCCCAGCTACCAGGGAGGCTGAGGAAGGAGGATTGTTTGAGCCCAGGAGTTTGCAGTTGCAGTGAGCTATCATCACACCACTGAATTCCAACCTGGACAACAGTATGAGGAACAAAATGTAAGATCTGAAACCAAACCTGCTACAACCTTAGTTCCACATGTGGAAGGATAGCAAAGGGGAGGGAGAAGGAAGACGGCCGACAGCATAGACGGAAAATGAAAACAAGAAAGATGAGAGAGAAAAGAGGAGAAAAGACATGCACAGGCTAGACAAGGGCACATGAGAAGAAACAGAGGCCAGAGACAAGGAATAAGGCAGAGGCAAAAAGAGTAAAACAGAGCTAAGGATGCAGTGGATCCAGAGAGTGAAAAAGTTCTTACCATGCATTGCCTTGCATGTCAGGTAAGCTGTAGAATAAATGATCTTTCACAACTGCCTTTTGAAGTTCTCTAACCACTACTCACAGCCCAGAAACTATTCTGAGCAGGACAGCTGTAGCGAGTATATAAAGAGACATATTCTTTGCCTTAAAAGACTAACACCTAATAGAATTTATGGACAACGAGAAAGAACTCTTACTGGGCACAGTGGCTCTGGCCGGGCGCCAGTGGCTCATGCCTGTAATCCCAGCACTTTGGGAGGCCAAAGCAGGTGGATCACTCGAGGTCAGGAGTTCGAGACCAGCCTAGTCCAATTGGTGAAATCCTGTCTCTACCAAAGAATACAAAAAAAAATTAGCCGGTGTTTTGGCACATGCCTGTAGTCCCAGCTACTTGGGAGGCTGAGGCAGAAGAATCACTTGAACCTGGGAGGTGGAGGTTGCAGTGAACTGAGATCATGCCACTGCACTCCAGCCTGGGCAACAGAGTGAGACCCTATCTAAAAAAAAAAGATGGATAGATAGTTAATGAGACTTAAATATACTAATATTTTGGCAATCTGAGTTAGCTGTAGTACAACAGGCCAAATTGCTGCTATTGTGTTTGCCAAAAGCAAGTCATCTCATCATTAGCTGTTTATCGAGTACTTATCCTAATTCTAATGGTTTACTACCTTGTCTCATCTTCCCTGGCAAACCTAAAGGTTACAAGACATTCCCGTTAATAATAGTATTTCTCACATTGATCTCAAAAGATTGGAAAAGCCAATCTTTAACAAAGGCTGGGCTGGGGGCATTAAGGATATCATGGTAAGCAAAAACATTGTCCCAGCAGTCACAGAACTTACAGTCTCAGGGAGAAACATGGACAATAAAAATAGACGCACACATGCACGCACACACACCAAAAAGGATTGACTATATAGCTGTGTGTATATGCATGAGTTTGCACTCACTGTGCCTTCACTTTGAAGCAACTCTGCAGGTGATTCCACCTTCCCCACCCTTACTCCCAGGGAAATACATGCCTTCACATGGTGAACCACTAATTAGATGCTAGAACTAAATTAAACTCTACAATACTCATTTAAACAACACAATACTCTTCATAAGTTATAGTAAAGCAGTATAGGTAAAAATCAGGAGATCTAAGTAGAGTCCCAGCTCCAGGACCTGCTACATAATCTGTAAGTCCTGGTGTAAATAAAAAACCGTAGGGCCTCCTGTTGAAGTTATTAATGAATTCAACATGGTGACAACAGAACATTTAACTAAGCCCAGGGCCACCTGTGACTGCACAGGTCACGCACCCATGAAACCTTCATGGCTTTCGTACCTATTGGGTGTGCAACCTTTATTCAGTTGCTTACCCTACTTCAGGTTCCTTACAGCTTAAAATTTAGGGAAGAAAAAACTTTCTGCACCTTCCTGTAACTAATACCTATAGTTCTCTACTAAGGAGTGAGACCATTCATTTGAAAAGAGCTCTTTTACCTCTTTATAGAAACATTAAAATTCTGACTGCTACTCAAAGCTACTATTATATAAAAACCCATACGTAATATTTCATTTTCAACCATATTGATGTTTTTTATTTCTACACCTCCTTAATTTTGCCTAAGAGGAAAAAAATGTCCAAAGCTGTGTTCCAAGTTTACTATTTTCCCATGTATGCCTTTTAAATCTGAAATTCCCAACTGGGGTCTCTATGTCTAGAAAGTAGTTTTTCCCACAGTAAAATGTCTCCTTACACAAATCAGATATTTTCTTTTTCTATCACGGAAAAATTATCTATTCAGAATCAACTTCCACATATGGTACAGCGTCTGGGTCTGATCCAGTGAAAAGAAGGCAAAATGTCATTTTGACAGTGAGTTAACCCTTTTATTCCCCCAGTTTAGTATTTAGCACAACATAACTAATAACTATGGAAACCAGGAATTCTTAATTTGGGGTCTATGAACAGATTTCTGGGAGTTAATCAACTTAAGTAAAAAAAAATTATATCTTTATTTTCATCAAGCTCTAACTAAACTTTAGCACTTTCTTCTATTATAAATGTAGGTGACAAACCATAGCAGTTCCTGTGACTTGATCACAAATAAATATGATACACACCTTTGTATCATATTACAATTACTACAGATATTGTGAAATACCATTTGTGCTCAACACAACTTCAAAATTGTAATAGTGTAATACCCACTATTAGATATTGTGGTTTAACGTGTTAGTAACAATTATATGCATTTTTATGATGCAAAGTTGATTTTTCCATTGAATATATTTCAATATAAATTGTTTCCATGTAATCCTAAGTACCTCATTTTATGTGTTCAAAAACACAGTTGCAGGGAAAGGTGCAAACTTCAGCAGACTACTAAAGGGATGCATACACAAAAAAGGTGAAGAAACAGGCCAAAAGAAGTTACAGCACACAAGTGAAGCAACTGTATCTCTAGTCTCACGAGAAGCAACAGACACATCTCATAAAAACAGCCGGGAAAATTTGAGTTCAACAACGATGTCTACATTATAATAAAATCTTCACGGTCTGCAAATTTTAATATGAAAACAAGTACATCAAAGCAAAGCAGCTTTTCTTGTTGTCGTGTTGGTTTTGTATTGCTTTTATACATGTAACCAGAGAATTTGATCTGAAAAGGTATAACCCAGACAGTTTTTATAACGTTATCTGAAATGTTATCTAGATTGTTACCTGGGACGACAGTAGGTTACAATCAATGAACAGTCCTTTCCCAGTTCTGTATTTTTGTATCAATCCAGCCATAATAGCTCCGTATGCATACAAGCCTGTGGCAAGATCAGTCATGGCTACTCCTGGGCGAACTGGCTCTCCATCCTGATTTGAAGGTTGGGTTGAGAAAGAAGAAATAATTAAAAATTAAAAGAATCATATGATTTCTCAACTCTTCTAATGTGAAATAGAAAAAAGAATTGTCTATGAACTGTGCAGACACATACACACAAAAACAAGCTAATAAAATAAATTGCCATTGAGAATATCTGTTCATAATAGGAAAATATTTATATTTATTATATACTTCTCAGTGTATTTCTCTCCCCAACCCCGACTAATCAAACTAAACCAAAGTTAAAATCAAAGATTTTTTAGAAATCGATCTGATGTTTCAAATGTTTTAAACTCCTTCTTGATATATTTTATCTTGTTTATACTAAAAAAAATAATTAGTTGAATTTAAATGAGTTAATTTGCTGGGGAGAAAGAGTTAAAGCAGTGTTTTTCTCCTATTGGGTGAGAGACTCTCTCGCCATTAAAAAAAAAAAAAAGGTTATAAAATCTGGTCTAACCTCCTTATAAGCATGACAATAGTTGGCAAAAAATACTAATGGTATTTGCTTAATAATTTTAAAAAGACTGCTTACCCATAAAAAGCTTTTTGCAGACTGCACCTGAATTAGGATTACTATGATAAACAAACTGTGAATCTACAGCTTTATGGGACGTGGAACATAGGGCACAGGGCATGAGCTTTGCAACTCTCTGGGTATAAAATGGAGATGTTTCACAGCCTGTAACACTCCCCGCTAGTAATTCATATATTTCATTAAGGACCTCATCTACTGCTTTGCACTGCAGAGTTTTATCTATTGCAGTAAGAAAGGATCCAGGGGCCTGTCTCAATGTCCCGGACCTGTCTCTGCTTTTCCTGAGTCTTTTGATTGCTTATATTCTTGAAATTATAAGGAAAGCTTAATATTGATTAACGTCTCCACTTCATGTCAGTCTGATTTGACAATCCAATCCTTGGCCCATGTGTAAAGACATTAGGACAGTACTTGACACAAAATAAAAATCACATATCAAAATTATCATCAACATTATTATTAGTCATTGATATATCAGATAGTTTTTACTTGTCACTACCTTTCATTCTGCTAAGCCTTGAATTGCACAGAATACCTAAAAAACTCACATTTCACATTTCATCTGGTTGACACATTCATTCGGTCACCTCCTTATTAATTAATTCCAGCTTCTGTTGAATCATTTTCAAAAGTTAATTTGTCCTTTTTTTGTAGCGCATCATAAACCATGTTAATTGTTTTCCAAAAGTACTAAATAATGATTAAAGCAAGTAACTGACACTATGTAGTGGCTAAACTTATTTTTCCCTGCTTTTCAATACAATTTCAAGGACGATATTGCCATGAAACTTGGGAATGTCTGGCAGCCTTCTATTGTTATTGTCAAAAGTTGTAATGTTAATGCCTTAAATCAATACATTTAAAATTAAATTTGTCATTAGAATTTAAGATTAAAGTAAAAGTGAGAGATAAGTTCAAAGTTATATTCACCTTTGAACAACAATGTTCTGAACTGCATGGATCCACTTATACATAATTTTTTTTTCAATAAAAGTTAGACTAAAGGCCTGCCACAGTGCCTCACGCCTATAATCTCAGCACTTTGGAAGGCCAAGGCAGGTGGATCACCTGAGGTCAGGAATTTGAGATCAGCCTGGCCAACATGGTGAAACCTCGTCTCCACTAATAATACAAAAATTAGCCAGGTGTGGTGTATTCAAACCTGTATTCCCAGCTACTTTACTAAAAATACAAAAATTAGCCAGGTGTGGCATATACATGTACCTATATTCCCAGCTACTCACAAGGCTAAGACAGGAGAATTGCTTGAACCAGGGGGCAGAGGCTCCAGTGAGCTGAGAAAGCAACACTGCCCTCCAGCATGGATAACTGAGCCAGATTCCATCTAAAAAAAAAAAAAAAAAAAAAAAGCTACCTTATGACCCAGCAATTCCACAACTGGGTAAATATCCAAGAAAGAAGAAAATCAATAATGAAGAGATATATGCACTCTCATTTTTATTGCAGCACTATTGACAACAGCGGAAATATGGAGTCAACTTAAGTGTCCATCACTGGTTGAATGGATTAAGAAATGTGTCCAGGCACAGCAGCTCATGCCTATAAATCCAAACACTTTGGAGGCCAAGCAGGAGGATCACTTGAGGCTGCGAGTTCAAGACCACCCTGGGTGACATAGTAAGACCCTGTCTCTACAAAAAAATATAAAATTTAGCTGGGCATGGTGATGCACACCTATAGTACCAAGCCACTTGGGAGTCTGAGGTGGAAAGACCGCTTGAGTGCAGGAGTTCTAGGCTCTGTAGTGAGCTATGATCATGCCACTGCACTCCAGTCTGGGCAAAACACTGAGACCCTGTTTCAAAACCAACTGCAATGTGACATATATTATATTTTGTTTTATATAATATAACATAATATTATTCAGCCATAAAAAATTATCTGGACAATAAATAAATTCCTGTCATTTGTAACAACATGAATGTAACCAGAGGACATTTATGTTAAGTGAAAGAAGCCAAGCACAGACACACAAATATCACATATTCTGACTCATACGTGGGAGCTAACAAAGCAGATCTCATGAAGATAGAGAGCAGACTCATGGTTACCAGAGGCTGGGAAGAGTAAAGGGAGGAGAAATGAAGACAGGTGGATTAGTGGGTACAAATATACACTTAGATGGAAGAAGTAAGAATTGTTGTTCAATAGATCAGTAGGGTGACTACAGCTAACATCAAAAGGCTATACATTTCAAATAGTTAGCAGGGAATAATTTGAATGTTCTTAGAATAAAGAAATGGTAAATATTTAAGGTGATGGGTATATCAACAGCCTTGATCTGATTATATTAATGTTTGGAATTATCACATGAACCCTGAAAACATGTACATCTATTATGTATCAATTTTTTAAAAGCTAAAAAAAAAAACAACTTTCTCAACCTAATAAAGGGCATCTATTTAAAATCACAACCCAGATCATACTTAAAGGTGAAGGACTGAATGTCTTCCACTAAAATCAAGAACAAGATAAGAGGCCAGTCCCAATGGTTCATTCTTGTAATCCCACACTTTGGGAGACTGAGGGGAGGATCACTTAAGCCCGAGAGTTGGAGCCCAGACTGCACAACATAGTGAGACCCTCAACTATTTATTTTAAAAAAGAAAAAAAATTAAACTAATATTTTTTAAAAGAATAAGATAAGGACATCCACTCTCACCACTTCAATTCAACATTACCGGGGAGGTTTTAGCCATGCAGTTAAGGTACAAAAAGAAATAAAATGAATGTTGATTGCAAAGAAAGAAGTAAAACTATCTCAATTTGCAGATGACCCAGACTTATATATCAAAAGTACTAAGGAATCCACTAAAAAAACTTGTAGAACTAGTAATCGAGTTAAGCAAGATTGCAAGATAAAAGCCAATATACAAACATCAGCTGTATTCTACACAGTAGCAATAAACAAACAAAAAATGAAATTAAAAAATTCAATTTGTAATAGAATCAAAAAGAATAAAATACTTAGAACTAAATTTAACAAAAGAAGTACAAACTTATACTCTTAAAATAAAATATTGTTGAAAGAAATTAAGACAAAAATAAACCAAAAGACATCTCACAGTCATGAAGCATAAGACTTAATATTGATAATATGGCAATGCTTCCCAAACTCCTCTGCATGTTCAAGGCAATTCTACCTACTAAAATCCTAGATGCCTTTTTTGCAGAAATAAAATCTGATCCTAAAAATTCATGTGGAAATACCATAGACAAAGAATAGCCAAAAGACAAAGTTAGAAGACTCATAACTTCTGATTTCAAAACTTACTACAAATCTATTGTAATAAAGGCAGCTTGGTACTAGTGTAAGGCAGACATATAAACAATAAAAATTATCACGTAAATTAAAACAATTACTTTTTGACAAGTACGCCAACATGATTCAATTGGAAGAATCTTTACAAAAAAATGGTTAAAATAATGAAATTGGATCCCCTCCTTGTAGTACATACAAAAATTGACTCTAAACGGACCAAAAATCTAAGCATAAGAGCTACAACTATAGAACAGAAGAAAATATAGGAGTAAATCTTTACAATCTTGGATTTGGCGATGATTTCTTTGATATGACACCACATGCACTAGCAACAAAAGAAAAAATAGATAAATTAGACAAAATTGAAATTAAAAACGTGTGTTTCAAAGGACACCACCAAGAAAGTGAGAGGACAATCCAAAAAATAAGAGAAAGTTTTGAAAATCACGTATTTGATAAGAAATTTGTACAGAATTTTCTTTTTTTAGAGAAAGGGTCTTGCTCTATCACCCAAGCTGAAATGCAATGGTGTAATCTGGGTTCACTGCAACCTCCATCTCCTGGGCTCATGCAATCCTGCCACCTCCGCCTCCGGTGTAGCTGGGACCACAGGCACACACCACCACACCCAGCTAATTTTTGCAGAGACAGCGTCTCACCATGTTGCCCAGGCTGGTCTTGAACTCCTGAGCTCAAATGATCTTCTGGCCTGGGCCTCCCAAAGTGCTGGGATTAAAGGCGTGAGCGATCGCACCCGGCCCAGAATTTTTAGAGAACATCTACAACTGGGCGACGGCGTGGAAAAAGGCTCCTCCCGCAAATCGCAGCCTCTGGGACCAGGGTCACTCTGTCCGTACTCCACCTCGCCAGGACTTCTTACAGCTATCGCCAGTCGTCTGCCACGTCCTCCTTCGGGGCTTCTGGGCGGCGGCTCCGTGCATTTTTGGCTGGAGATCGCCTTTCGCGCTCCCAGTATGCACGGGAGCTTCAGAGGCCGCGGGGCATGTCCATGTCCTCCGCCGGCTTCGTGTCTTTGTCTTTCTTAGGGGGCTACAGCGGCGGCTATGGCGGCGTCCTAGCAGCATCCAATGAGCTGCTGGCCGGCAAGGAGAAGCTCACCATGCAGAACCTCAACAACCACCTTGGCCTCCTACCTGGAAAAGGTGCGC